CGTGTGTGTGTGTGTGTGTGTGTGTGTGTGTGTGTGTGTGTGTGTGTGTGTGTGTGCGTGTGTGTGCGTGTGTGTGTGTGTGTGTGTGTGTGTGTGTGTGTGTGTGTGTGCATGTGTGTGAAAGAGAGAAAGAGAGCAGCAAGTACGGTTCTGTGACGATGTTGTATTGTTTTATTAACCGCTGGTGTTGAGAATCCACAATGGAGAAGTTTTTCCAATTTCCTCCAAAGTAACGGCCTAAATTGCTTTCTTTGTTTTACTGTTCATCTGTTGCACCATATCTTTATCGAGAAGAAACAAGATAATGAGAATTGCGTTTCTAATCCATTTATGCAAAGGACACAGAGAAATTGCTCTCATATACTGTCATAATATCGACCTAATCAACAGTTCCATTGTTCGCTATCTGTTTTTCACGAGTGCTTCTCTGTCTTCTTTTAGCAGCAAGCGAGTGCAGGGGTATCTTTGATGCCAGCGAGGCCGGGTACATCACCTCCCCCGGATACCCACTTGAATACCCGCCTCACCAGAACTGCCAGTGGGTCATCACAGCGCCGGAGCCTTCGCAGCGCATCGTCCTCAACTTCAACCCACACTTTGAGATCGAGAGGCTGGATTGCAAGTAAGCCGGGGAGGGAAGCCAGTGTGTTTGCACGTTTTTTTACTTATTAGTGTAATTTGCTGTCAGTGGTTTTGGATGCTTTGATCCCAACGTTCTGGTCAGTCGCTCAGGAAACTTTAATTGTACTTACAAGCTCTGGGTAAGATGCAGACCATTCAGTGGACTGTGGTTTGGTTCTTGAGAAAATTGAGCACAAACTGCATCGCACGCATTTAATGGGGTGGATGCGGCCAAGCTCAACCACAAACATCTTGGCCTCAATGCTTCTTCGGGGGCAATTACGATCTGGAGTTCCTTGCTCGGGGGCACGTCAGCTGCTCATAACCTCCTTAGCGCAAGAGGTGAAATGGACGAGGAATGCGGGTCACAGCGGCTAAGGCTGAATGGAAGGAATTATTCAAAATCTAGACAGGACCTGATGGAAGAAATGGTTAACATTTGCTGTGGGGGGCGTCAGATAGGAAGGCAAGCAGGAGAGGGAAGGACAAGAAGCAGAGAATAAAGTCCAGCTGTTTGGATGTGACTCTTGGTCAATTTTCCCAGAGATGTCAGTAATCAGTCTCATCTGTTTTTTACCCGACGAGAGCAAAAAAGACTTTTCCTCTGTTTAATCCGCGCTCAAAAGTCATACGCCAATATTGTCCCAATGTGGGAAAGTGTTCAAATTTAAATCAAAACAGCATGTAAGATGTAACAAGCGAGCAGTTACTGGAACTGTTGATTCAAGGACAGAAGCAAATGCAAAAACCGCTTCTTTGCCGTTTTGGAAACTATGCCGCCGCACATTAAATGCAAATTGATGGATGAGTAAAGTAAAAACAGTCAACTCTGAGTCAAGCCAAATTGCAATCTCAAATACTTTGACCAAATAAAGAGTTGTAGTCATGGAAAGTGTTTTAATCTCCACCAAAGGATGTCCCTATCCCTTTTTCATTTTTGGGACGAATGGCAATTGCAGGTTTCGTCTCCTGCAACGAAGTGTGCAAAAGTGTTTTCCATGTACTTACACTTAGCCAGTTGTTTGTCTCGACATATTGCTTACCCCGAGCCTCAAGATCATAAACAGACACAATCGTTAATTGCCTTTTTTACTCATCCCTCATTTCTCTGTCAGCCAAATCTTGCTTACTCACCACCAAAAGCAGCTATGTCGTACAGTAATACGATGTCAGATTTTTTTTTTAGCCCCCTGATATGAGCCCCGGGGAGAAAGCAGCACAACGGATTTCCCAATCACAGCTCGGCACATTAACAAAACTATTGTTGTTCAAGTCAGTGTCAAGACGCTCCTCGCTGCCTAAAACTTGGACGATGGGAAATTTAAAATGTTTGTCTTCAGTTACCATTGCGAATTTTATGGGGGGGGGTTCTTTCCTGCACGCTCGCCTGAAGGGACGAAGGCCTTGGCCTCCCCTCTGACACACGCCCACTCAGGCTCCCTTCTCTCTGGATGTGTTTGCATGCGAGCGTGGGTGGCGAACGGTGTGAGCGTGTGAGTAAGTCTGCAAGCATGCGAGTTTTCGTCAGAGTTGCTGCTCCTTCCATCCGTCTCGTTAGATTTACCGCAACATATCAGCATCTATTTTTATAAAAAATAAAAATCTCTTTTCTTTGAGACCCGCTCCGCTCTCTACCCCTAGGTGCGCGTACGCCCCCGCATGCGCCGTCACGGGTTGCTTCCTCTCTTTGCCAGTGCAATTGGGCACAGCAGTTGCAGAGGAGTAGATTTGTTCACCTTTCCATGCTGCTCTGTGAGGTTAAGGGGGCGGGCAGCCACTGGAGGGGTGCGGAGGCGAAAGGCTCCCCGTCTCGGTGAGGCCTGAGAAGTCTGCGTGACAGCTGGGAGCACCATAACTGTAATTTACCTAAAACGCGCTCAGCTAGGCGAGCTACACTTGAACTTGCTCGCAGTGGGTGTACTACAGAATACACCCACATACGCACCTCGTCCTGCCAACTGCAAAATCGCGAGAAGTGCTTGGTCAGCGCCGGCAAAAATCTCTCTAACAGCCCTGCTGGCGAGTTTCCCTCAGCGGGTTCAAACTGTCGGCACTTGGCCGACCCGGCGCACCTAAACCCCCACACTGCTGCAGCAATCAAATCTTCAGCCGTATCGAGGCGTTCCACGTCTGAGGTGGCACTTCAATTCAGGATTTCATCTCACAGGGAGTCTGGCCGCATGCCAAAAAGCCCTTACCTCCAGGCTGCCGGCCGATTGATGCGAACTAAATGTAATAAAGGCTAGATGAAATATCAGGCCCATATCTCTAATGCAATCTGCCATCGTCGCACCTGGGATGCGCCAGGAGCACCGGAGGGCTGCTTCTTCCAGGTCCCTCTTACCACTTGATCCCTTTCTTGGGCTACCTCTCCTCGCATTGCTGCCTCCTCCTTCTCCCCCTCCTCTCGACCAGACTGTTTTATTGTTACTCACCTGAATTAAACATGGGAGCTTCCGGAATGACAACACACTCACACACGCACGCACGCACGCACGCACGCACGCACACACACACACACACACACACACACACACACACACACACACACACACACACTAACTTTTTAAATTTCCTTTCTTCCATCTTTTGTGGAATTAAATTGGCCAATTTGCTGCTATATTTAGCCTTAGGTGTAAACAGTTGATTATGTACTTTGTATGTTAACTGTGTGTGTGTGTGTGTGTGTGTGTGTGTGTGTGTGTGTGTGTGTGTGTGTGTGTGTGTGTGTGACTACACTTTCCCAATGGGGGGGATCTCGGATCAATGTCTGCATGCTCCTTGTAAACGGATGGATGTAGCAACCACGGTGAGAAGGAAGACCGTCTTGACAGAAACAGGAGAGACACAAGAGTCACCAAAGGGACTTGTTGTGGAATATCAATGTCGGACTGACATTAAAGACCGTATTACCCTACCTGTTGTCCTACAGTGGTGATGTTTCCTGTCTGAGTCAGTCGAACATACAACTAGTTAATTGCAGCAGGCTCAACACAACCAATATATGCTGATCGACCCACGGCACAGCCTCATTTTTCCACTTTAAAACGGGAGTCGTACCCGCCGGTGCTGGCGAACCTGATCTAGGTCGTCATGTCTGATGAGCGGTGAGATGGCTAGTACAGACATGAGGACATTGGGAGGAAGAGAGCTCTTTGGTTTTGGGCTGGATTGAAGACGGCAGGCCCCCGGGTTCTGCTGGGAGTTCGCTCCGAGCATCTTGTTAATATTTCAGAGGCACTTATGGTTTATTAGAGGAGCGGGAGAAGTGTGTGTGTTTCCACTGTACACACTCCCCCTCCCCTTATTTAATTCCTGCTTACGGAAGGCAGAAGCAGGAAAAAAGATGACAGCTTCGCGATTGTTCGCAAATTGTGCTTCCATTTGTTTCCTTATGGAAGAACATGGGAAAGTACACAATGGAGCGACGGCAACTCAAGAATCTGCAAAGCTGTATTTACTGATACTCATGAGCAGCTCAAGCTCCTCAAGCTGGCTGAACCTGAATAAACACAAGCAACGACAGTACAGTAAATAATGTCATCAGGATGAAATGTGATCCAAAAAAAAAAAAAACATGGCCAGTGATTTTCAATCCCCTTGCTTGGAACAAAAAAAATGAGAATGTACGGCTGTGCCTTTAAAGCCACCGTTTGTGATGCCTAAAGATACACATACAGATGCGCACACCGCATACCAGTAGTGAAGACTGGACAAAAAGTACCCAGATACAAACAGCTAAAGATGTGAAAGCTAATTAGTTGTTATGGGGACAGAGTGGAGTTATGGTAACGAGAGCAAAAGCCGAGCAGTGTACATCTGCTGGTCTTCAATTGGCTTTTTCTACATGCCCTGCAGCCGATCATTGCCTCCTGAGCAGAGCACAGGCTCACACATATTCTGCCTGTCAGACAAAAGGCTTGGACTGGGTAGTTGATGGACCAACACAGAGGCGGTGCCTTGGCCCCGTCTTGACTCTCAGTGTATGCGCGAAAGAAGAATTTGCCGTGGGAGCTGGAATGTGTTCAAGTGTGTGCCCGAGACGTGTCAGACGTTCATGCATGTATTCATCAGAGGGTGAGCGCACCGGTCAATAATCACATCAGAGGAACACTCACTCACTGTCGCTAATCTACGACAGGAGAGCGTGAGACAGAGAAAAGGGAAGTGGGAAACTAACATAGAGACCCACTCCAAAATCAATTAAAAGCTAATTAGGCTCTCAGATTCTTCACAGGCCTTTTATCCTCACTGTTGACAAAATGGTGCTGTGAACACGAGTGCTCTCCCGCCTTTGTCTGCATGTGCATGCGTGTTTTCCCCAAGAGTGTGTTTGCACTTACAGTGCATACTAAACGACTGCAACCATTCATTCTCGGTGCTACCAGATGATTTGTGCCTCCTCTCTAATTTTAGGGTTCGGATCTCTTCTGAAACTGGACTTTGCTCTCAGCATCAATTTCATCAATGACCCATCGTTGAAATTTCAGGCTCGGCCCTCGTTTCATTGAAAATGGGACTTCAAATACAGAAATGAGGCAGAGCCTTGTGTGACTGGAGCTGCTTAAAAGTAGGCCAAACTGGACAAATTTTAAAAGAACAGTGTTCATGCCAATGATCAGTAAAAGAAAAGCAGCCCAGTGGTTTTTGGTGGCCTCATCACATGAGCCCATTTAGAGATGTGGCATTGTGTGTGAGAGCAGAATTACAAGCCATCTCGATTGCAACAGCGCTTGTGAGGATTTTCCACGGAGGTCGACTGGTTAGCATGTCCTCCTCACAGTGCAGAGGTGGAGGGTTCGATTCTGGATCCGGCCTTCCTGTGCGGAATTTGCATGTTCTCCTGCGTGGGTTTTCTCCGGGCACTGCGGTTTCCCCCCGCATTCCAAAAACATGCATGGCAGGCTGATTGAACACTCCAAATTGTCCCTAGGTGTGAGTGTGAGCATGGATGGTTGTTCGTCTCTGTGTGCCCTGCCATTGGCTGGCAACCAGTTCAGGGTGTCCCCCGCCTACTGCCCGAAGACAGCTGGGATTGGCTCCAGCAACCCCCGCGACCCTTCTGAGGATAAAGCGGTTCAGAAAATGGATGGATGGATGGAAGTTGAAATGATAACTACCAATAAGATGTCAAGCTGCATTTGGCTGGCATCCAGTCCAGATTACAGCCCACCTCTTGCCCCACGTCAGCAAGGCTCCAGCACACTGTCACCTTAATGAAGATAAGAAGTATAGAAAATGGATGGATGGATGGATGGATGGATGGATTAAAGTCAAATTTCTTGGGTGCCGCTCCATTTACTAGTGACTATCATGATGTTGTTCAATACAACAACCATCCACCATTTCATTGTTTCTTTTTCATTTTTGTTCTTCTTCTCTCTTTGTTGTTTTTGAACATTCAAATGAAAGAGCAAATGTGGGACCGTGACTCATCAACACCCCTCTGGCTGGCCTGTGTGATATTAGCAAAGTTAAACATGAACTCATGTGACCGCACGTGGGTGTCCAAAAGGAGTGTGTGTGTGTGTGTGTGTGTGTGTGTGTGTGTGTGTGTGTGTGTGTGTGTGTGTGTGTGTGAGAGAGAGAGAGAGAGAGAGAGAGAGAGAGAGAGTCTAATTATGTTTATGCAATGACAGACACAGGCCAAAAAGAGCTAACTCATTTGGAATGGACCAGGTGGACTCAGTCTTGGCCCCTAAGAATTTGCTTTTTTTGTTCAGGGTCAGCTGGCGGGTCAAAGATCACAGTGAACTGTTAAGCCAAGCGTGTGAAGCGTCTTTACATTTATCCATACTAATATTCTCTTTGCTTAATCCCCTCTGTCGATAATGCCCCTAACCATTTTCTCTCCGAAGCACCCCCAACCGCAATTCAAGTAATGAATTACCCAACATGCATCTCTTCCATCAGGCTCTGTCCAGAAGTAAACTGGCATTAAAAAAAACAACAACAACAACAACAACAACTCACAAAATGACTGGAGGCTTTTATCCGTATGCCAAAGCAACAGGTGGCAAAATGCAATAACCCCGTACCAAAAGGGCATGTTTCATGAGCAGGAGTATTAATAAAGCCATTTATGTAAAATGTACCAAATAAGAAATGCTAATTTAAACCAATAGTGAAGTCGGGAATCCTCTGACTATTCCGTATTTCAGTGTGCAATAACTTACTCCCCATGTCCAATCAAAGGCAGAAAAGGCGAGATCAGATTATTCCAGAAATCATTTTCTGCCATCTAAAACACAGTTGGGTGGGTGAAAATAAAATCGTGTCCTCAGATTTCAGCTACTTGTTTTTCTCCATGGTCCAACGTTGGGTGTTTTCCAGAGTTGACTGGTGTGACTTGAAGATTAAATGAAGGCAGCGCATCTGAAGCAGCTGATGCCTACTTGTTGACCAAGAGCCAAGTCCGTGGCTAATATGTTTACTTCTATCTTTGCATGGGGGCTGTGCTCCAAAATGCTTTGCCTCTGCAGTGCACATTGTCTCCGGAGATAAAGAAAATAAATTTATCCACACCTGGCAGTGATTTATCAGCGCTGTTCATGACATAACTCCACAACGTCTTTGCTTCTCCTTCGCAATGCTTTCTCATCTCCGTGCCATCGTAGTAAAGCCTCACTCCTGTGGCCCCGATCCAGATCATGTTTAACCTCTCCTCTTCCCCCCAACCCTATTTTCTTTCTTTTTTTTTCAAATCAGGTACGACTTCATTGAAATCCGAGATGGCACTTCAGAAAATGCAGACGTCTTGGGGCGGCACTGCAGCAACATCGCCCCGGCGCCAATCATCTCATCGGGTCCCTCCCTCCAGATACGATTTGTGTCGGACTATGCTCACCAAGGGGCTGGCTTCTCTCTGCGCTATGAAATCTTTAAAACAGGTGAGGTGTCCAATGTCACTCATGTCATGGAGGCCTTTAAACATCTAGTTGACACTGAGACTCCATATGGAGTGGTCCACATAAAATTCAAAAGAGGGAAGGTCATTTAAGTGTTGCATATTAAACTTGAAAGGAGTGCAAACATACACACAAGCAGATTTCTTTCACTGCTCCTTGTTTATCTCACTGTCTGAAAGTCTTGACACTACTTTACTTCACTGAATGATTTTGTGAAGTCCACTCCTGTTAATTGCCTAGAACCAAGGCTTGGTCAGCACTGTGCTCCCAAGAACTCCTCCAAAATTGAGATCAAAAGAAGTGGCCAAACAAATGTAACAAAGGTGTTAAAAGTCAGCTTTTATTCACTACCTTAAGATGCTTGAAACTATCGAAGGAATGCTTGCTTATTTGAAGTGAAATCAGGTTCTTCTTGGGCGATGAGAGAATGGACGAATGCACAGCGAGAGCACTGATGGTGGCCTCTTGGAGTCGGACCTCCTCCGGTCAAAGGTTTATGGGTAAAGGCTGAGGCGAGGAGATTGATGGGGACGAGCAGGAGTTCAAATGGAATTTTGTGGAGCTCGCTGAAGTGCACAAAGTGTCGTTTGAACGTGTGATTGTTCTGTCCTTGGCATTTGTGTGTGTGTGTGTGTGTGTGTGTGTGTGTGTGTGTGTGTGTGTGTGTGTGTGGGTGAGAGAGAGAGTGAGAGAGAGAGAGAGAGAGAGAGAGAGAGAGGAGGTGAAATGGTCAGGTGGCCTTGAGGCAGCTGAAGGATTTATGTTCAAGTGAGTTGATTTGACTCAACAATGTTTTAGGTGGCTCCTTTTGAGCCAAATATCTCCTTGCTGAAAGCGTGCATGAATTTTAACAGCGTGTCAGGATTAAGGCAGCCAGCGCAAACGTCAAAATGCGGAATTTAGCTGTCACCTCTTACATGTTTTAAGCTTCAGAGAAGAGTGTCAGTGAGCCAGATGTCTGCAACGGGACTTAAGTCACCTGTAGTCTTGTAACATAGCAAAACACTTTTACTGCACTGAAATAAAATGACTGATACAATACGGCACCAAAGTAAACCATATGTACAAAAATATATTTTAAATAACGACAAACATGAAATATGTCAACCACTCACTTTTTTAAATACATTTAATGTCAGAAAGAAAAATGTAAATGGGTTCGCCAAACGTATTTGTCAAGATGCCATGACAGCTAACACATGCAGCCATACTTGCGGTGCCGTGATGGAGCGGCAAGACAAAAAATATGTACAGGCAAGCGATCTGGCATATCACTCAATTGGAACTGGTGAGTGCAACTTAATGGACGATCCAGTCAACGACTTGGCGTCACATCCGTTCCGAACATGCCGACTTGCATTAAAATGAACCATGGGGATTATTTTGACAAACACAAGACTTGACACTGAAATGGGAAGACCAGATATTTCTCAAACTCTACAATATTGCTCCATTTCACCATCAATACCCCAAAATGGTATGGCTGCTGGAGGTACACTTTGATATTAAAAAATAGTTTTGATAATTAAGTACAGCCAATTACTCAAGTAATTTTCGACAAAGTCACTTTAGCTTCTACCAAAGGGAGAATACTACTTTCAGGTACTTTGTACAAGACTGGTTTTATACAAGACTGGTCACCCGCACATCTTGTAGAAGTGTCTCTTAGGTTCACTTTGCACTGCACGGTTCAATTTGACACAATTCTGATGATTTTGCTTTACCACAAATTATACACAATTCAAACTACAGTAAATATGTTTGCTGAAAGCCGTGTTGGAGATCAAACAAGCAAAAATAATTGCCTAGAGCCGTCTATGTTATAGTGCTGAGGTTATCATCATTTAATCAATCCAAGAGTCAGCCCAGGCCAACTAAACGATGTCTTGTTACTTGCGTAGTATTTCCATGGTCTTGACAAGATTGGGGCATGCATTTGCAGCATTTAGCAGATGTGTGACACTGAGAACAAGCGTAGGTGTCTGCTTGCTGCTCAAGTGGGTGTTTCTACTCACAGCACAATACATGTCTCAATGTGTGGGCGTCGTGATAAATGCATGACAACAGAAATGGCGAAAAGAGAAATTGACTGACAATAATATGAATGGTGATGAAGGTTATGATAACTGAGGGTGAGGAGGAGGAAGAGGAGGATGATTTAATCACAACACTTTAATCATCATCATAGGTGTTTGTCTTCCAGCTGCGGCAGCAAACACGCGCCCAAGCCACTTTGCAACGGACATGTTTATTCACCAGGGTGAAAGCGATCGCATTTCAATTACTTTCACTCTTTAGGTGATTACAGTTGTCTTGGGTAAGATTAAAGCTGTGTGGTCTCCACCTTTTTTAGAACACGCCATGCTATTTGAGCAAACAAAAAAAAAAAAGAGGTTTCCTTCCTTTGTAATTAGTTTTAAGGCTCTTTGATGTGCATGTGTTGTTAAAGGGCGTGTCTTTCTGCAGATCGAGATCTCATCTCGGTAAACAATTACGTGTGTTGTGAGATGTGCGTGTGTGTGTGTGTGTGTGTGTGTGTGTGTGTGTGTGTGTGTGTGTGTGTGTGTGTGTGTGCGCGTGCATGCCTGGGTGTGAGGGTGTTCAGCTAGACCTGACGACTGACTTGTTTTTGTTTAGCTCATTCAAACTTGTTGCATAAGTGATGAGTGTAACTACTCCAGGGAGTGTTGGATTGTTTGGGTCAACATGTGCATGCATATGTGTGTGTGTGTGTGTGTGTGTGTGTGTGTGTGTGTGTGTGTGTGTGTGTGTGTGTGTGTGTGTGTGTGTGTGTGTGTGTGTGTGCGCTCGCACGTGTGTGCGTGTGCCTGTATGCCTGCACGCTCCCCATTTCCATGTAGGAGGTGTGGGAGTGCCTAAATGGCTCCACATCCACCATGACAGCCACAACTTCTCCCACTCCCACAAATGTGCTACCAAAAACCAGACTCCCAATTCCCACTCCCATGTATTCTGTACAGTGAACGTGCACGTCCCCGCCGCCTTCACCCCCAAGCCCAAAGCCCATATTGTTGTGCCCTACTTTACTCGCACTGGTGCGTGCTTAACCCTTTATTCATCGGAGACTACCCCCTCCCCCAATGCCCTCATCCATTCGTCATCCATCCTCACTCAGTCACGTGTCGTTGATGCTGTTACCATGGCTACTAGAGGCAGATTTACCAGTAAAGCCCGCTTTTTCTGGTTCCCCAGAGCCCCACTACGAGTCGTATGGGGCCACATCACAGCCAATCCTGAGTTGAATGCAAAGCAGGGGAGCACTTGAGGGCACCAAGTCCCTCCTGTGACCATGGGTGACCACTGCCGAGACATATATATGGTCTCGGTGGGAGCGCAGCCAGAGGCTGGAAACCACCCACTCGCCTTGCTGCCAGTAAGACATGCTGTGTGTGTACGCTGTGTGTATTTCTGATGCTATCGCATTGCTCGGACGTCGACCACCCTGACAAAGTGCTGTGTTGTATATGCCTGACTGACTAATACTTCATTATCAGGGTCCTCCTCCAAGAAACAATAAAGCACAGGTAAATTAAAAGATGAATAAATAAACACTGTTTTAGTCTGATCATACCAGAAGAAATTATGGCCCAAAATGAAAAAACAAGGTATGGTCAGCATCTGGATAAATTGTTGGCGCTCCTGATCACAAGTAATTTCCCTCCATGCTCCAGACTGTTAAATTGGTGACGCCGTTCAATTTCATAGCCCTCATCAAAGTCATCATTATGATGGCTCGGGTAGAACGTCTCGCTCGACCGAAACGTGTTGACCCGTGACATGGCAAGAAAGTGGCTTTTTTTCTTTGTGACTTTTCATGTTGTGTTATTTTATGATTGTGGATTTTACACACATTCACAAATCTCCCCCCACCACATTAAGAATGCACCTTTTGCACACATCCTGAAATGGATGCATTGCGAGAGAGTCAAAGACACAGACAGAGAAAAAACTAACCAACAAAAACCTTAAAATTTAAATTTCTGATGTTTATGTCAAATACGTTGCAACAATGCAAGCAAGGTGGTTTTACTTAAATATTTAAGTTGGAGTTCAATAATAGTTGTGAAAACCTTTCTCTTATTTCTTTATTGTGAAATGCCGGAAAGCCATTTTTCACAACAGCGAAACTTAAAATGTTATCAAAGGGTGTTGCCTTCACTCAACATTTTTTTTTTGACAGCGAATGAGTTCATGTAGCTCAGGCAATGTTGCATGAAAGACGCGTGTGTCTGAGTGGTTGACATATGTCAGACAAGTTGGCGGATGCAGTTAAGCTACACACAAGACACCGCGGTGGGCGCATAGGTGAATCCTCGGCAGGAGCTGTGTGCTACGGCGGGTAGACAGCAGACAGCAGACAAGCTAGAGAGAGCGCAGACTGCACCACACAACAGTGAAAAGACAAGACAGGATGGGAGGTGAATCGGGGGCCACTTGGGTGGGTTTTACCCAGCAACTCAGCCTCTCGCCCCCCTCTTTCAGGCTCACACTGGCGTACAGTGTGACCCCTCCCCTTTGCCAGTGCACAGCTTTGTAACCAATGACAGCTCACGCCAAGCAGGGGCTTGTATTGGTTGAACACGTGCGCAGGAGGTGATGGAGGGAGGTTCCAAGACTTGTTTTTGGCGTGCTCACACACCGTGAACTAATGACCACTAACGAAAAGGGGAAAGTACTCATGCATAAGTGACTGCCACACAACCATGCAAAATAAAGAAGACATCCATGCACTGTGTGTGGCCCAGGCACAGTGACCAGTTGGTGCACATCATCTGGAAAATGCAAACACAGTGGAACGCAGTGCTTGGAGACACGGAGTCAAGCTGTGCGCATATTGAAGTTTTCGCAACTCCAGACTGCTGATTTGTGACCCAGTAAAAACAAGGCCACTGTGTTACTAGGTCTCACACACACTGAGTAGCTGTCACGCACCCACCTCACACGCCGCACAGGCAAAGAAACAAAAAAACGCCGGTGGAAAAGAAGAAAATGAAAGGATTTAGGTTAATAAAAGAGAAAAACAAGCAAAGACATTCACAACATATGTGACTCACACATGAGAAACTTGCAATCATGTGCTTGCACTTAGCGTTTGGTCGAAACGGTATTGCTTGCCACTGGCTGATAATTACCAGCATGCAGGCAGCACGGTGGACTTATGGGGAGCACATCTGCCTCACAGCTCTGAGGGGCTGGGTTCAGGTTCCAGTTAAGGCTTTCCTGTGTGGAGTTTGTATGTTCTTCATGTATTGCAGCTCACTCCAAGAACGAACAGCAAACATCAGCATGTTAGGTTCATCTAAATTGTTTGTCTGGCTTGCATGACACGCCGCATGAGCATCAGAGCCGGTGCCTCTGAATTGGCTGCCTGGGCGGTGGTGATGCTTACAAAGATGGAGGATGTGGTCTTACTATGGGGGCATCACCGTCCTAAGGCTGCGTTCAGGCTGCAGACATGTCTGATTCAAATCAGAATCCTCCTCAAACCCGATTTTTAGGGCTGGTTGTTCACAAAGTTTTTAGCAAGTGTCCAAATGGCATTAGGCCTGTTCAGACTAGGAACCCTTCTGGCTGGTTGCTGCAGCAATGACGTTGGAATGGAGGCAGCATCCAGCACGTGTAGTGTTTGATGTGATATAAATGTGACAGCAGCAAACCGCAAAATGCTTTCATAAATGGACTTGTTTCTATTCATGCCCTCGATCTTTGCTTGTACGGCGCTCTTTCCCGACAGACTGAGAATGCGTTTCGTCCTGTGTCCAGAGATTGCTGTGTTGTAAATGTACCGCTCCGCACTTCGATTGTCGCTCTCTGTTCTGGCGCAGCTTGGTGTTGCGTCGCGTACAGTGACGTCATGGACAGTCAAAACCGATTGGTGTATTTTTAGCTGTTCAGACTGAGACGCATCCTATCCAAATCCGATATGAAACTGCCTTCCAAATGTGGTTTCAATCCTAAAACCACTCAAATCAGATTTCATGTGCCTTGTTTTCAGCCAACAAAAGAGGCATGCAGTTTCATTCTGGATGTGCTAAAAATCGGATTTTGGATGGCAGTCTGATAAGGTCTACTCAGGGATTTTGGAGGGAAAGGAACATCAGATTCACAAGGAGCAGTGTCATTTTTGTCCTGGCTGTGGACCAGTGAACTTTGCATCGATCTGTCATGATGAAGGTGGAACTAAGCCAAAAAGTGAAGCGCTCACTTTAACTGGTCGATCAACGTTCACAAGCTGTGGGGAGTGCCCCAAAAACATTTTCACTAATATCGGTGGCCAAAAGGGGTTTTCTGGGCTCTCCCCTTGAGATAGGATGAGAAACTCAGTCATGCGGGAGGTGCTGGATGACGGGACGAGGGAAGTCGGAGCTTGCCTGCTGGGCCAACAAACTGACACCAGATAAGCGGAAGATGGATGGATGGATGGCTTTTAATATCCTCAGCTGTGTGTGTGAGTGTGTGTGTGTGTGTGTGTGTGTGTGTGTGTGTGTGTGTGTGTGTGTGTGTGTGTGTGTGTGTGTGTGTGTGTGAGCGCGTGTATGGGCCTGCATGGTGGGTGGAGCATTCTGGCCTGGCTTGAATGTGGATGACCGTCAGGATGTTTTGATACTGCAGTACGACTCCTGACTTTCAGGAACAGCTTGGAAAATGCACAGGAGAAAATAGCATTGATGCTACTTTAATGTTACGTTTTCAGACCAGCGATTTCATGGGAATTACCGCATTTTGTGTTGGAAACACGAGAAAGCAGGAAATATGGTGTTGGTCTTGTGAAGTTGTTCACTCGTCGCTGGGCTAAATAAGGAGGGTCCTCTGCCATTATCAAGTGCAGTGAGCAGTGAGGTAACAGCCAGCCCCCACGCCACTTTTATAGGTCTGCCTGATAATAAAGACTGGTGCCTTGTTGGAATGTTGCTGTAGGAATGTGCTATTAACATGTCTGAGCTCTTGAGGTTTTATACATTTGGATGTGGCTGTTAACCAGCTCAGGTGGTCTCAGGTTTAAACTTCAATCTGTCGTGCCCAAGTTGCGCAAAATAGAAAATCTTAAAATTCACTCATTAACTTAATCACTTTAAGAAGCAGTTACAAAAGCAAACATAGAAAGAAGCTTGGAACGTGCCATTTGAACAAATGATCTGTGTTGGAAAAAGCTGAAGGTGAAGATAGCAGAGGCTTCTGAATCAACACGTGATAGGCGCACTTCTACGAACACGAGGAAGGCCAATGGGTAGATGGTAGGAGCGGTGCAGCTGCAGACGCTCAAGGTGAGACACACAGCGGCCCAGGCTGCATAAATCTGCATCGCTAATGAAGAGCTGCCGCAAAGGGCTCACTTGAGTTGAGCCATTACACAAGGTCTGTGGTATGCTTGACTTCTTGAGAAAAGGGAGAGTCTGTGAAAGACGGAGAAAGAGAGAGCGTATTGGGAGCATAGGAGAACATTTATTTTGATTGTTTGCAAAAGCTCAGAAGTCAGAGGCACTACTGAGGTCCTCAAAAGCCTGGCCTAAAATGATGCGTGTCACTTTGCCTTCTTTGCTTGGGACTTTTTGACGCCCGGAATGAGTAACAGATTTCTTCACATCTTGAAGCAATGTAATTGTTTTTTCGGATGCAAAAGTTGCTGAAAACAGCATGGTGCTATGTCAAAGTGCTCATGATTGGCAGGTTTGGACGTTGATGGAGGTGGGGCAGAGGGGCGGGGGCAGTCTTCATGTCATACGGCGCATAGGACACACTGTAAGATGTCAGTGATGAACTTCATCTGCAAGACAGATGTTTCTTCCGTTCGGTCTCTTTCTCTTGTCTGATCTGGATGTTCTTTTATGATAGATGGCTTCTTCTCTTTTTGTGTCTCCTCTCAGGGTCAGAATTCTGCTTCCGCAATTTCACCAGTAGCTCCGGTATGATCGAGTCACCGGGCTTCCCCGATAAATACCCCCACAATCTCGAGTGCTCGTACATGATCATTGCTCTGGCCAACATGGAAATCAGCCTCACGTTTCTCACCTTTGACCTGGAGAACGACCCGCTGTTGGTGGGAGAGGGCGACTGCAAATACGACTGGTTGGACGTGTGGGACGGCCTGCCGCAAGGTAAGTGCAAATTCATTTCCCCGGTGCAAACACATGCAGACTCACGGAATTTCCGCATTCCCACATGGACGTTCTCTCACGAAGCGCTCGCTTTGATGTGTAGCCTTGCTCTCCGTTCCTTTGGGTTCCGTATAGGAAACATTATTTCGCACTGGCATCCGAAAGTTCTTGGACACCCCAAAGGAGCGGCCCTTTCTCATGCCCCTCTTCCCCGCGAATGAACACCCTTCATCAGCGCCTTCCTTTCAGCAATGTCCTTACTTATGTTTCCTTCCTCCCTCGGATGAGAGCGAGCGTCGTGCTGGGACTCTATTTGGCTCCAATGAGAGGTGCTGAATGTCAGGAAATGGCAAACCAAAAACAGTTGTTGCAAAGTGCTTTGATAGTTGCCACCAAAGAGTAATTGCTGCTGTATCAGTCATGAAAACCACATTAGTGTGGCTAAATGGCATTTTTGCTCCTTACGCTCCTCCTCCATTTCTCTTCTCTTCCCTTTTATTTAAAAAAATCCGAGGTAGCACACTGCCTTGCTCTAATAATTCTATTTTGGGTTTCTAAGAAAGGGATTCACATGGGTTTAATTTTTCAATTACATATAGCCTTGAATTTGGGAGCTCTGGTAGTCGCGGACATTCAAAGAAGAAGGAGAATTAGGAGGAAATTAAACCGTAACCCAGTTCGAGTGAGCCTCGGCCTCAGGCGTGAAAGGGTCTTGGCAGACAAGCGGGAAGGGTGAAGAATTTGCCGTCTGGCAAGGGAGCACGTCTCGAGACGACGGTAATCCTCACTGGTTTGGTGTGCGGATGATCCCAGAGCAGCTTGCATTAAGGCGGGGATTCGAGTCCCCCTGCTGGGGTCTGGCTAAGACACACATATGGAGGGACATGAAGAGCGAATAAGGATGAAGAAAGATGGGTGTTGCAACGGCGGCGAATCATTAGCCATTGCTTAGCAGAATAACAGTTGATTTCTTCTGTCGTATTTCCTCAAAGCACCAACAAAAATCTCAAGCAAAATAAAAATCCGTCGTTTGTTTTAAAATCAATGAAAGGTCCTAACTTGCTGACTGACGTGATTTGTTTATCTGCAGTGTCCCCGCTGATCGGGCGGTACTGTGGCACCAAGATCCCTCCAGAGATTCAGTCGTCCTCTGGGCTGCTGTCACTTTCCTTCCACACAGACATGGCGGTGGCCAAAGATGGCTTCTCTGCCCGCTACAACATGACTCATAAAGAAGTCAGCGACTGTGAGTGCAGGCTGTCTCCCTGTCTCGCTGTTTTTGTGTTTTGTGTGTATTTGTTTGTTCTTGGCGGGCTTGTTTACCCGCTATTATTAAATCTTCCGACACTCATTTTTCTTTCTACACCTCACCCTTGCTGTAATGCAATTGTGGAGTTCACCCCTCGAAGAAGCTCTCTTTTCCTTAGAATTAAAATTAACAAAGCCTCAATGGACTTCTTTTGGCTCTGTTTGCCCTTTCTCCCTGTGGCTTTACACTACCTTCTTCAGGGTTTATTATCAGCTACGTCTTGCTCCCCATCATCCATTCTATTCACCCTTCCATGACAACTAAATTCCCTTTTCCTTCCCTCTGTCAGCGTTTCACTGTAGCATGCCGCTCGGCATGGAGTCGGGGAAGATCAGTGATGACCAGATCACTGCCTCCACAAGCTTCTACGACAACCGCTGGTTGCCACGTCAGGCTCGCCTCAACAACCACGACAACGCCTGGACGCCCTCAGAGGACAGCAACAAAGAGTACATCCAGGTCCGACAATGCACCTTTCCATGAACAGAATGTGACTGGACAGAATACTGTGTTTTGACACACGGTATACTTCTGGTTTCCCACCAAGACCAAAAAAATCCTAATCAGTACCAAATTGTTCATCTTCATACACAATCATGTACCACAGACATCAGAATTTTGTTGTTAAGATTCATGCATTGTTCACCGAGAAATCAACGAAGCTCGTTTTTGCATAAGACCGGTTGCTCAGAAAGCCCCCCAAGAAAGGCAATGAAAACACAAGCTAGAAATAAATTGTGTCTTCTTGATAAAAATGCACTCGGCAGCAGTGACATTGAAGAAACACGCCCTCGAGGAACTGCAAACTGATGATAAGGAAGTGCTCCTAGCGCTCACACACTGGGTACAGTATATTTATATTTATATACTGTACATGCATATGTGTGGGCAAGAGCGGCGTGATGGATGAAGGTGCTTCACAGCATCCCATTCAAATATCACGCCATTGATCTTAGCATCCAACGTTCTTCTTCATTTACACATGACGATGCCCAGACGCAAGTGCCACCCCATTTCCTGTGCGCCGTCAATCCGCTGCTGTCTGCATGACAAATAGAAACAACGGATGGTTGTCGTAGTTATTCAAGTCAATCCTGTGTATCATAAATCCCCACTAGACGCTTTGCAGTTCCTCCTCTCCCATGGAATATTCTCCATTAAGAAAACATAACATATTTTATATTCCATTTTCCCTTTGCCTCTTTCTTCAAGGTTGACCTCCACTTCCTGAAAGTGTTGACGGGCATTGCCACCCAAGGGGCCATTTCCAAAGAGACTCAAAAGTCTTACTATGTCACCACCTTCAAGCTGGAGGTCAGCACCAACGGGGAAGACTGGATGATCTATCGGCATGGCAAGAACCATAAGGTACGTTACCGCATGTGCGCACAATTCACTTCTTACTGGCTATGAAGTCAACCAAGAAACGGAGCCTCTCTTCAAGAGTGACACAAACATGTTCCAGTACTATATAGCTGGTATACCTGGACTATGACATTGGCCATGTGGCAAAAAAAAAAGGTGATGGGAAGGAGGAAAAGATGGAGATAGCAACACAACTACAATGGAGTCCTCTGTGTGCCCTTCCTCTGGGTGTGTTATCTGTAATCATTCTCACATTGCCACACTCCGCACATATTCAAGTCTTTGTTGTGTAAATGTATGTGTAGTGCGGGATGTTATTGTCACGGTGCATGGGTCTCCATTCCTCATATCTGGGATGAGGTCACCGTGGATTTTTAGAAGGAAAATGGAGGGCGTGGAGGGGGATGGTGGCTTTGTGGAAGGGTTAATCCACAGACACACTGACACATTACCAACATAGACCCCTTCTGCGCTGGCCGCTGATTAGTTTGGGTGGGGCCGGTGGGGGGTATCAAATGTGGAGATTACAGAGTGAAACATGGATTTGACTTGAAAACGAAGCAACAACATCTGTGCCGTTCTGTTTAGTACCCCTCAATGCACGCTGCCTTTAAATGGACTCTCTTGTCATCACCCTGTCTGTAGTATGTCTGCCTCTTTGTATTCTGAGCCTCCCAAAATGGCCAAATGATATTTTACATGTGTAAAAAATGAATAAGATGACTTCAACCTAAATTCCTGCAAACCCAATGGCAGCAAACAACAATGGTCTGACTGAAGTAGCACTTTTGACTTTCGTCGCCAGCCTGGTTCGTCCAGCGGTTCACATGGGCCACAGTCAAATCTACTGTGACTGCTAATCCATCATCCACGCAGTACAAACTCCCGGTTAGCCGTCGTAAGCTCCCCAAAGAGCCCTTAAGTGGTTGAAGCTCATTTTCTGTCAGGGGGTCCTGTAATGATGAGGATTTTACTTCTGTAATTGTCATTTAACACAGCGCTCAAGAACATATTGTGGTTTGGGAGGCTTGCACAACTGTATGCGTGTCTTATTGATCTATGCGTGTGTGAGTGTTTGTTTGTGTGTGTGTGTGTGTGTGTGTGTGTGTGTGTGTGTGTGTGTGTGTGTGTGTGTGTGTGCGTGTGTGTGTGTGTGTGTGTGCGTGTGTGTGTGTGTGTGTGTGTGTGTGTGTGTGTGTGTGTGTGTGTGTGCGTGCGTGTGTGCGTGTGTGTGCGTGTGTGTGTGTGTGTGTGTGTGTGTGTGTGTGTGTGTGTGTGTGTGTGCCTACCAGCCTGTGTTTGCCCACGTACCCATACATTCACGTACTTGCGTATGTACAACCAGTCGATCTCAGGGCCCACAGCAGAAAGCAGCCAGCTGGAAGCAGTTCCTGCTGTCAACATCTTCATAGCAAGAATGAGGACGTGAGAGGAGTGGAGGTCATGGCTGCTCAGGCTGAGAAAGAGGAAACAAATGGCGGCAGAAGGAAGCTGGGAGGGGACTGTAGTGAGAACTGTCGTGACAAAGAACGGAGGAAAAACACAAATGAGTGAAACATCAGTTCGATAATGTGTTTTGCGGAGCTCACCGCGTTTCCCTGTGGTGTACTCAGAACACTGTGCGGACTCACAAGAAAGAGGAATGCTGGAATAGTAAATGAATTAAGCTGTGATGTGTGGACACAGTATTTTACAGAGCGCTAACAACATTCTGTGAAATTATTTCCGCTTAGAGGTGCACGATTGTTGGACTTTGCTGGCCTATAACAGATGATCTTCAAAGGCCGTGCAGCATAACACACACACACACACACACACACACACACACACACACACACACACACCTTCCATCATGACCTTGTTTTCTACAAAGGTCATCAATAGTTAAATACCCATGGTCCACACCCAGTCTGGCCGTTGCATACCGTCTACATGTGTGTATATGCTGAGCTTTCCGCAACGAGCGGTGCTTCGTTATATTTTCATGACTCTCCACACCAGGAGACACAACATGGCCGCTTTAATTATTCAACTCACTTCGCCTTTATGTGACACAAGCCAGAACCGCGCCCCAGTCGTCAGGCAGAATAGAGCCTACCGTTTTAAACAAAATTCTTCTGTCTCTGAAGAAAAAGCGGCATCACCGTCATCAACAGGTTTGTCAATGAGCAACCATTTGCCTCCCAGAGGCAATGGCCTTTAAGGACTGGCGTCGGGTTCTGCGACAATAGACAGGAGGAAGTGGAGGAAACTGAACCGCCATTGTCTTTGTGTCTCCCCTGTTTCCGCTTTTTTTCCAAGGTTGTCTTCTCTGCTCTCACCTCTTGAGAGCTAATTTGTCACACCAGGTCAATTAGATAGCCCATGGTAATATTTTGACGCGGAGACAGTATGGAAGGGCAAGAAAATCCCGGATGAGGTCAATGGAAGTCTTTCTGTTCTCATGTCTGCTGTCCCATTTTCATTTCCACATGATGAAACGTTCTCATGATCCATATAAATGGAAATTCCAGCTAATTTGCTATTTAATGCCCTGATACATTATTTGCTCTCCTAGTGATAAAGCAGCTCATTGTGCAGTGCCTCCCATTTGCCCCACCTCTTCCTCGTCCATGCCTCTTTTCTTTTTTTTCCCCATCAAGATAAGCACAGTGCATACATAACACTTTTTAACGTCTATCTTTGAATGTCACGTCAATGCTCGGAGAGTCTGTGACTCGACCGAACTCAGTGTTGCCCCACACTGGCAATAGTATTTCTGCTGAGAAATGTTAAACATATTTAACATTTACGATCATCACTCACCGCACACCCCAGGACAATCACTCAGAATAAAATAAAATAAACCTTTCGTGACATCCGATGATCGTGACATCCCAGACTTTAATTGGAAGGGAATGTGTCCTTTGGAGTTGCTGCCCTCCATTCGACCTTCTTACATGAAGATGCTTGCTCTTCACCTGCTTTCAAGTATTCATCTCAAGACACCTCATGCCTGTCGGCTTCTTTTTTTTTTCTTTTCTTTCTACCCCACGAATCTTTGTTCCAAATATCTGGGAGCGACAAAGACATTGTCATTGTATAAGCGTGTTTTGCTTAACCCCCCCAACTATTTGGCCTCTTTCGTAATTACGAGGGTTGCCGGTCATCCATCCAGTATCAGACACAGCACAGATATCCTACTTTTCTGTTGAAACACAGACTGGTTTGTACAACCGCTGTCGGCTCCACTCGATTAAATCAGACCATGCCGGAAATCAAATAAAACCCTCGAGTAACATTTTGAAGTCCTATCATATGTCTGAGAGGCAGATGCCAGATCAAGAATATTACAAATGGGTTAGTTTCCACCAACATGGACAAGTGTTTTCAGGCACTTTCCTCTTTTTTTCCTTCTCTACTGTGATGCTTGGCCACAACACAACAAAATAAGTTAGACTTAACTGTCTTTCAGCTAAACTTCCTTGCGTGTGGTTTCAATTCGAGGTAGAAATGCACAGATGCACAATGAGGATGTGCCATTGGAAAGAGGATGTAGTCCTTTAAAAGGAACTTTTGTGTTTGTCAATGAAAGCCACCATGAAATGCCCCCTTGAGCATCCCAGGACTCTTTTTACCACAAAACAGGAAGTAACCCGAGCATATGGGTTACTTTTGCCCTCTCACCCCTGCAGGCGAGCCCTGCCCAAAAGACCCACTGGGAGGGAAGGGATGTTCCTCAAGGAGAAGTGAATGTTGACGCTTTGGGATGGGTTGGATACCTCATATCCTCACATCCTGCCCACCTGGGCACACTTCCTGTGCTTAATGGCCAAATCATGTTTGTTCATGTCAGTTCATGTCTCTCTCACAGCCACCACTGAGAGGTGTGTGGGAGCTTGTTTGTGTGTCTGCATGTGTGTAGGTGAGTGAGTCTCGAAGATCATCAACCCTCATATATCCTCTTGTTACCCAGTCTCCTAGACCCAAACCTTTGACCCCAAAACACAATGACAGCTGGGCTGGTGACATCGGATCCATGTTTGGGTTGTCTCTGCTGTGTTGGCCTGCCGCTGTGTGTGTGTGTGTGTGTGTGTGTGTGTGTGTGTGTGTGTGTGTGTGTGTGTGTGTGTGTGTGTGTGTGTGTGTGTGTGGCCAAGCAAATCCGTTCACTGCGCGTTGAAGTGTGAGGAAATGACACATAAGACAAACCCACATACGGGTGAGCACATTCAACATCAACCAAACTGGCGCTGATAGTCTTTGCCTTTCTTTTCAGGTTTTCCACGCCAATACAGACCCAGCCGAGGTGGTGCTCAATCGCATACCGCAGCCTGTTCTGGCCCGGTTTGTGCGCATCCGACCACAGTCGTGGCGTAACGGCATCGCCTTGCGCTTTGAGCTCTATGGATGCCAGATTACAGGTGTGTAGAAGACAACATAAAGGTTCTATTATTCTCATTGCTGCTCCAACGCAATGGTGAAAGGCTTCAGGTTCATGTCATGACTGTGGGGGTGGGTGGCGACGCTATAAAATTAGAATGTTTTTTTTCATTGCTTTAAATTGCCAGTGTTAAAATTGGTCCTGACAACAGATAATTATAGAGTAATTCTACATTTATTAACATGCATTTGTACATTGTTTTCATTCATTTCAGTTTTATTCAAAATCACAACAAATGTAGAAAATTACAAAATAACACTTTGAATGACTAAAAATAGATCCCTCAGGAAAAATGAATAGTCATGTCAACATCCGTATATCCACCCATTCAACCGTTTTCTAAACTACAACTAAATAACAACAACAACAAAACTATAAATAAATAAATAAGAAGAAGAAGAAGAAGAATTTCCACCCAAAAAATAGGGACCTCGCAGCGGTCGCTGCTCAGGCCTGAAAAATAGAACAGCTCCCCGTGTGTCTTGGCTTGTTTGGCATGCGCACTGGAAGAGGGTCAAGTGCCAAGTAAAGATGTATATTCATATTTCAAAGAAGTATTGAGCATCTCTTCATCAGAGATCTTAAACCAAGGACCCCCTTCATGTGCATTGCACTGTTTTGTACCGATTTTACATTGCAAGAGCTGTTGGTGAGGTTTGGAGATCATTGTATCCTGCGGGCAAGAAAATCATTTTTTTTATGTTTGAGAGTAATGCTCAAAAGGATGTGATTTTGTGTCTGCCCTTGAAAAAGAAAGTGTAACTAAATATAAGCTAAACTTAAAGAGAAAATAATTCCCTGAACCATGAAAAGCGGTTGGGTTGACACACATTTAGGCTGCCTCAAACTCCCCGTGCTATATTTTAAACATAGCTCGGCTCAGGCGAATGAAAGGAAAGCATTACTTGATTCTTCCTTCCAGAGTCTTCACTGTGTCATTTACCTCTTCCACATTCTCTCTGAACTCATGCTATCCCTCCAGACGGCGCCCGTCTTGGTTTTAGACGTTTTTTTGATGTGTCCTCTTTGGTCTGTGAGCGTACCCGATCGGGGAATGCGTGACAATCAATCTTTCATGGTTGACTCCGCGTCCATACATGGCACACTGTGATCCACTTTAGCTGCTAACCACTGCAAGTGAAGTAACTATTAGCGTCAACGAACAAGTACATCCACACGCTGATAGTTTCTAAATGTAGTGGCACCCCCAATGAAATTTACACACACAAGCGTATAAAACCCCTGTACCTTAAATAAAGAATTTATTTCTTCATCCTTTGCAGTGACATAACAGCATGAAACTTTGATCTGTGCTCTCTTAAACTGTCAGCACAGCTAATGTCTCCCTTCCTTTCTCACTTCCTGTATCGCTGCTTTTTCCTCCTCCCTCTTTGATGGTCCCCTCACTCTTGCCTTCCGTCTGCAGCCGCTTATGACTGCCGGACTGTCATCCCAGCCCCCACCCCCCCATCCCACCCCCCCTTTATTCTCATTTCTCTTTCGCATGCAGAAACTTTCAGTACCAATATCTGAATGAGTTTCATTCCTACAGGTGTGTTTTATTCACTGCGTGTGTCGTTGTGTGTGAATGGAGATGATTGATGGGACCATAAATGACATAAAATACAGTAATATCATTGCATAATCGCTGAGGAAATAAATGCAGCCAAATAAACACATGCTCTCATCCCACTAATATGCACTAATTAATAATATTAGATACATAGGCGCATCGTTATCCCTCACTAACTCTCTTAGCCTTTGCTCCGGTCTTAACTCCATATTGCTTAATGGCCAGTAGTGCTTTGATGTGGTGGAGTTTAACAGCTCCCAGGTGGAAAAATGTATAACAGCAGGAGTGGATGTGTCAGATCAATGATTCAGACATGTCCATCCGCCCTCCTGAGGTTATGGTGAAAATAATATTAATAATATCAATCGCCACAGATGCTCCATGCTCCAGACTGCAGGGCCTGCTGTCCGGCCTGCTGCCTGACAACCAGATCTCGGCCTCCTCCAGCAGGGACATGATGTGGAACCCCAGCGCAGCCCGCTTGGTGGCCAGTCGCTCTGGCTGGTTCCCTGCGCCTTCACAGCCCCTTGCTGGAGAGGAGTGGCTTCAGGTATGTTTTGAATTGTGCCTTCCATTGATGCTCATTTGGGTGCATCATATATTGTCAACAATAGCATCACATTTATTGAACTCCACTTGAAATGCATGGATATAGTCCTTAATAATATTCAAGCATTGCTTACTGAGAAACTGGAAAAAGGGACAAAACGTAGCAAATAAAATTTGAAATTCCACCTTTGTCTGACTCAAAAAATTTTATGGGTTTCTCCGTTTCTCCAGTGCCTAATCTCTTCACTATGTTTTCATGAATACTGCTTAACTAGTTTTTTTCATATACCACGAGCAAAGGAAAAAAAAACAAACAAAAAAAAAACATGGCGATGGATGTTTAATCTCCTCAGGAGGCAGAATTATCCAAGTTGCTGGAGAACCATAAAAGGATGTTTTTTTTCTCTTTCATGATTGATTGGTTCCAGGTGGACCTGGGTGTGCCCAAAACAGTGCGTGGAGTCATCTTTTTGATGTGTCCTCTTTGGTCTGTGAGCGTACCCGATCGGGGAATGCGTGACAATCAATCTTTCATGGTTGACTCCGCGTCCATACATGGCACACTGTGATCCACTTTAGCTGCTAACCACTGCAAGTGAAGTAACTATTAGCGTCAACGAACAAGTACATCCACACGCTGATAGTTTCTAAATGTAGTGGCACCCCCAATGAAATTTACACACACAAGCGTATAAAACCCCTGTACCTTAAATAAAGAATTTATTTCTTCATCCTTTGCAGTGACATAACAGCATGAAACTTTGATCTGTGCTCTCTTAAACTGTCAGCACAGCTAATGTCTCCCTTCCTTTCTCACTTCCTGTATCGCTGCTTTTTCCTCCTCCCTCTTTGATGGTCCCCTCACTCTTGCCTTCCGTCTGCAGCCGCTTATGACTGCCGGACTGTCCTCCCAGCCCCCACCCCCCCATCCCACCCCCCCTTTATTCTCATTTCTCTTTCGCATGCAGAAACTTTCAGTACCAATATCTGAATGAGTTTCATTCCTACAGGTGTGTTTTATTCACTGCGTGTGTCGTTGTGTGTGAATGGAGATGATTGATGGGACCATAAATGACATAAAATACAGTAATATCATTGCATAATCGCTGAGGAAATAAATGCAGCCAAATAAACACATGCTCTCATCCCACTAATATGCACTAATTAATAATATTAGATACATAGGCGCATCGTTATCCCTCACTAACTCTCTTAGCCTTTGCTCCGGTCTTAACTCCATATTGCTTAATGGCCAGTAGTGCTTTGATGTGGTGGAGTTTAACAGCTCCCAGGTGGAAAAATGTATAACAGCAGGAGTGGATGTGTCAGATCAATGATTCAGACATGTCCATCCGCCCTCCTGAGGTTATGGTGAAAATAATATTAATAATATCAATCGCCACAGATGCTCCATGCTCCAGACTGCAGGGCCTGCTGTCCGGCCTGCTGCCTGACAACCAGATCTCGGCCTCCTCCAGCAGGGACATGATGTGGAACCCCAGCGCAGCCCGCTTGGTGGCCAGTCGCTCTGGCTGGTTCCCTGCGCCTTCACAGCCCCTTGCTGGAGAGGAGTGGCTTCAGGTATGTTTTGAATTGTGCCTTCCATTGATGCTCATTTGGGTGCATCATATATTGTCAACAATAGCATCACATTTATTGAACTCCACTTGAAATGCATGGATATAGTCCTTAATAATATTCAAGCATTGCTTACTGAGAAACTGGAAAAAGGGACAAAACGTAGCAAATAAAATTTGAAATTCCACCTTTGTCTGACTCAAAAAATTTTATGGGTTTCTCCGTTTCTCCAGTGCCTAATCTCTTCACTATGTTTTCATGAATACTGCTTAACTAGTTTTTTTCATATACCACGAGCAAAGGAAAAAAAAACAAACAAAAAAAAAACATGGCGATGGATGTTTAATCTCCTCAGGAGGCAGAATTATCCAAGTTGCTGGAGAACCATAAAAGGATGTTTTTTTTCTCTTTCATGATTGATTGGTTCCAGGTGGACCTGGGTGTGCCCAAAACAGTGCGTGGAGTCATCACCCAGGGAGCAAGAGGGGGAGAGGCAGCAGGTGGAGGAACAACAGAGAACAGGGCCTTTGTCAGGAAGTACAAAGTTGCATATAGCCTGAATGGAAAAGAATGGAATTTCATCATGGACAGAAAGACAAGCCAGCCCAAGGTGGGTCTTGAGGGCAGGGTGGATGTCTTGTTTTTGTTGTCGTTTCCACTTTGTGGATTGTGTTTGTGTTGATTTCTTACAGATTTTCGAGGGTAACACACACTATGGCACACCAGAGCTGCGTCATTTTGAGGAGGCAGTGGCCCAGTACATCAGACTGTACCCTGAGCGGTGGTCTCCAGCAGGGATTGGGATGAGAGTAGAAATACTGGGCTGTGACCTTCCAGGTAGGAGATTCTGCTGCTACGATAGGAATCATTTTGTTTCTTAAAAATGAATTTATCCATCCATCCATTTTCTGATCCGCTTATCCTCACAAGGGTCGCGGGGTGCACTGGAGCCGATCCCAGCCGTCTTGGGGCAGTAGGCGGGGTACACCCTGAGCCGGTTGTGTGATAACAACACAGACCATTTAAGCAAAATGGACTTTTGGGAAGGGTCATGTCAGACAAACATGGATCTACATGGAGCTTGTCAGACGAAGAGCCAGTACATAAATGTTTCAGCCTGATATGTTTTGAAATTATTTCACCTGGAAAATATGACTTCTCTGCAAGCTTCCAGAAACATGTGCTATTACTAGGAGGGAGTGGACAAGCTTTGTGTTACAGGAATGCATCGCCAGAGAAAACTTGCAGCATAGTCTGTTTTCCAGATGTGTGTGGCACTCACACACACACCCACACACAGCCACCCACACACACACACACACACACACGTTCACACAGATACGTATATATTCATACATCTACTTGCACAGGCACACATCTGGACTTTCACTGTTCACCACTCCCTCTGAGCCTTAACAGGATGACTGGTGCCGTGTAGCACAGCCAAGCATGTCATATACGTACAACACACCCATCAAGCAACCACTGACAGATATACACACAAGCACAGAAATATTACATCATGGCCCATTCAACTTGCTCAGGTGACTATTATGGTTTTGCATTTTATTGTGTTTGATGAGTGCAGCACAGAAAAATAGATCATTACTCATTTTTAAGGACAGGATACATTGGAATATACCACGTCTAATGTCGAGGGTCACACCTTGTTCCAAACTCAGCAGAACTACTGATGACAGCCTGAACATCCTCCATTTCCCCCTATGTGCTGTGTATTATTCACTTCTACCCTCATTTATGCCCTCCCGGGAGTTGCTTTGAATTTAATATTTTTAACCTGGTACATGACTCCTGCTTCAATTGGAAGTAGAAGCTGTGAAAGTAAAGTAGAATAAGATCCTTTTCACTATCCCAAACATATGGTTGCACTTCTTTCCCCCTCGAGGCCCTGTGCGTGGGTTCATTTTGTTTTTCGTCTTTTCTCCCATCCTCAACATATCTACGCACAAATACACGCACATGCACCACTAACACACACACACACGCACGCACGCACGCGCGCACGCACGCACGCACGCACGCACGCACGCACGCACGCTCACATCACTGCTTTTGCAAATGTACTCTCCAAAAATGCAAAATGCATGAGGATAATTTCTCTCTGAGAGGCGGATTGCATTGTTTACACGTGCACATCTGCAAATTAAATGTCTGGTGTCACAGCATCACAACATACATCATTTGAGATGGAGACAGGAAAAAAAGTAAAAGGTGTTCATTTGATCAATTCATGACATGTTTGGTAGCAAATGTTGTATTATACTTGAATTGAATTATTTTCCAGTGTCAGAAAACAGTTTTTGCACAGTACACTCCATAAAGACAAAGTACTATAGACCATCTTTGTCCACCAAAATTGTATGTATTATTCAAAGCAGTGGGGTTTGCATTTGGGCATTTTAATGTATTTTCTTATCATTGACTGATTAGAATAATGTTTTTTGTCAATTTTCTGGTAATTATTTTCCTGACAAAATCCTACTCACTATCTCGTGACAACAGACGTAGGGCCTTATTTTCATGCCAGGTCCAAGTCTCGGGCATAGCACAGTCTAACTGTGCGCATTAGTGGGGTTTTCTTTCTTTTGGTATTTTGCTAGACTTTGCGCCAGTCGAATTGCGCGTAATGGGGCGTTGGTGCCTTTGATCGTCGTTGTGGGATAGAAGTAGATGTTTCCCGGCGAATCCTTGTGTCATCCCTCATTGACATCAAATTTTCAGGGTGGTCGTAGCACTTACCCGAGTACGCCGTGCATGATATTGCAGAAACAGAAAACCACCTCACTTAGATTTTATATGCACATGTTTAAATGGTTTAAAAATTGCTTTCTTTAGAAATCTCGTTTAATCTTAAAATGCGTTACTACATTTTTCAATACCAATTACTTGTTTAAGTTTGTACAATCAGTGGGATCAGTTGCAATGCATATATGTGAATGATAAATGTAAATTGCACATTTGTCTAAGGAAATCTAAGGTGCTTCATGAAATGTTTTGTAAAAGATATGTTCATTAAATGTCAACATTTTCCTAATGTTCTTGTGCTTCTTTAAACCTAAACAAAGGAAAGACATATTTTGGTTTTTTATAGCAGATTATGGTGTAATTTTAATGGCCCAGCCCACTTGATATCTACCCGTTATTACGCCGAGCGCAGATACCCTTCTGTTACCAAATTGTCGGATGAGTCAGGGGCGAGGCAACTCTGTGCACTGAAACGTAAAGATGGGAGCAACATGGCCCCAAACACACAAAACTAGATTAGTGCTAGCACAAAAATGAAGTTACTCCCGTTTTTGCTCCAAGCTCACAGGCACCAGCCTAACCAAATAGGGCCCTGAGTCTTGCAGGCATTCAATCATGTGTGATGGGTTGAATCATCACCTGCAAAACTTAATGTGAGGCAACACTTCATTGCAGCAAGTCATTTTTTTGCCATACCTATGAATATATGGTATGTGACATATTAATTGTTCCCATCAAGAACAGGAGCTCAGGGTGACCTACGCAGGTCAGGCATGTAAACCATTATATGCACACAATCACACAATTCGGTCTTATTTCCATTGCCCACGACACTCCTGTCACCCGGGAAAGGTCATCAGATTTACACTGTGACCTTTCAAAGCGCTGAGCTCTCAGGAGCTGGGGAGAATTTTAATGGACAAGACTGTGTCTTCTGTGTGTTTTGACGTGTGTTATTTCCCCAGCAAGCAGGTCACAATTCGGCATTTGGTTGATTCCAAGGTTTTACCCCAAAACCTGAATCATTACACTTGATCATAAACAGCAAACGACAGCACAAAAGGCAAAAGGACACTCTTGATTTTGAAAGTGGTCTGTTGTAAGATCTCAGCAGTTTGACAGATAAGCATTTCATTTGGTGGCTAATGACTGGCACAAAGGATGGAATATAAATGCCGCATTAAAGTCAGAAGCCTTCGCAAGCTGCGAGAGCGCTTTCATGTCAGCCATCTCGGCAGTTGGGGATTGGTCACAGTCTCTTTCACAGGAAGTTCCTTTAAGTAGACCAGTTGTGTGTCACGCTGCGTTTGTTCCCCTCAGTGACTTTCATGGTTGTTTAAGGATGTCACGAGTCATTCAGAAAGAGAAACGTCATCAGTAGGATGCTTCTAATTTGTTTTAAACAGCACAACATTAGGTTCAACTTCAGGTAGCTTAAGAAAACTACCATAATACACCTACTGTTATATTTTTGACAACTGCACTGGATCTGTGCCTAATTTTCTGGCCAATGAGTTTACAAATAGAAATTTTCTAAAGCCACATGACGTTTAATCACTAGTGTGACCTCAACATCCATATCTACTTGTCAACTTAAGTTGACCCATCCGCTCCGAAGAGCACCACAATTTTTCCTACTTCACATCCTGGCCACAGCCTGTTCAGCACATGTGCAGTGCCCACGTGGTGTGTTCTAATGAGTGGATTGTAGGCGTGTAATAAATAAGAGACATATCCAAAGCATTTTCTTGTGACCAAACCCCTCATGATCGTAACTTAAACAAGAGTTGAATCAACAATTATTCTTGACTTTTTTATACGGTGTCAGTCATATCGGCCCTCCAATTAAACGGTAACTAAAATGTGGCCCGCGCCATAAATGAGTTCGACCCTGCATTACGTCGATCGCGATCGACCGGTAGCTCGCGGACTGGTTCCAAGTCGATCGTGAGGGGTCTAGAGTAAAAAAACCAAACAAACAAACATTTGTGCGTCTCTGTGCATGTTAGTAAATGACTGAACACTCAAAATTGTCCCGAGGTGTGAGTATGAGTGCGGATGGCCTAAGACGTGCACCTACTGCCCGAAGACGGCTGGTATAGGTAACAGGTCGATCGCGGCAGGGTGGTTGAACGAAAAGTAGATCTTCGGTCCACACCCCCGACATAGACACAACGCATGGGACACTCACCTTACGTTCACTAGGGTTCTCCGTGCCAGTATCAGTAGGATGAGAAGAGTTCTAAAACTCAGCTGATGGATTCGAGGCATCCAATCCTACTGTAAAAGGAGCTGATCTTCAAGGGAAAGCAAGGTGGAAAATTATGTGTGCTTTGCAATGCAATAAAACCCCCCCACTCGCCAAAAAATGTTCATTTGTTATTTGTGCCACATAAGTGCTTTGCCAGGAGCAGTTGCCAGGCAACCAACACAGACCCCTAGAAGTATCTGCTCTCAGCCGAGAAATAATCTGACACATAGCCTACTGTAATACGCTCAATTGTCCTTTTCTCACTTGGGTTTATGTGTTGACACTCGCAGTAACGGGTGCAATAGTACACACTTGAAACACAGTGGTTGGTGGACCTCAGCTGGTTGATGGCATGAGAGTGGTATATTACCATGTGCTGGTTAGCGGAAAGAATGCAAAACACTTTAATTATCCAAAATGTGTGACTAAAAATCCATCCATCCATTTGCATGTCACTTATTCTGTGCAATGTCATGGAAAAGCTGGAGCCTCTCCCAGCTGATTTAGGGTGAGGGTTAGGCTGAGTTATTGCCATACTACCACACTGTCAGGTGTTTGCAATTGGTTGCTTCATAGGATTTATGAAATTTAACATCAGTTGGCTTGTTTTGCGGCACCAGATGGGCATTAGTGGTAGCGCTCTAGAGTGGTTTGGATCCTATCTAGCAGGCAGGACCTTTTGTGTTTGCTTTGGTTGGTCTGAGTCCCATTCTGCCCACCTGCTATGTGGTGTTCCACAGGGGTCTTTTGAGGGCCTCTGCTGTTTTCATTGTATTTGCTGCCCCTGGGTTCCATGGAAGCATGGGATTTCATTTCACTGCTCTGCGGATGACATTTATATATCATAGTTTTGATGGCAGAAAACGTCTTTAATTTCAACAGAAACGAAAACAGAAGCTATGGTGTTTGATCCCTGTGGCCATTCTGCTTTTCATCCTGTTGACTTTGGGCCCCCTGGCGTCTTATCGAAAACCAACAGTCTTCAATTTGTGTTTTAGATGAGACAGTGATTTGAAATTGGACCGGCAAATTGGTGATGTGTTAAATACAGCTTTTATTTATTTAGGCAGCTGGCTAAAGTAAAGGCTCTCCTTTCACAGCAGCACCGAGAAACAGTAATCCCTTCCTTCATTACGTCTTGGCTGGATTACTGCAATGCACTTTATTCTGGATTCTGCTAGCACCCCCCCAAGTTTCTCCAGTTGGTCCAAAATGCTGTTGCCGGCCTACGAACTAGAGCGCCTGGGAAGGAGCACATAACACAAATTCTGGCCTTCTGTTAATGTTAGTCAGTCCCCTTTCTGTACATTTTTAAAACTTGCCTTAAAATACATTTTTATTCTTTGGTTTTCGACAAAGTATAAGACTTGGCATTGTATTTGTGTTTTATTGTGTTTACTTTTTTCATCTTATGAATGTACTGTTTTAACAGTCTCTTTTTACATGTAAGATTTTTACTTCATGTTCAGCACTTTTTAAGCAGCTGTGGGTTTTTTTTAAAGTGCTCCAGGCATAAAGTTGAGTCTGATGACCCTTTTGTTCCAGCAGAAATCACCACACCAGCAGACACGGCCACGCCCACACTTCCTGCTCAGACCACCACTATCATTGCATCCACCACAGGTAATGCCATACTGTGGTCGAAAAAGGAGGCTCACCGCTTGCTCGTTCTCACGGTTGTTCTCCTCTCTCCTCTGCAGTCGCCACCCCTCCTACAGGAGATGGCGCGTGTGACTTTGAGCATGGTCTGTGTGGGTGGATACATGACCCTGGCGTCCCTCTCCTCTGGTCCCTGCACAGCCATGGTGAGTGTCCTCATCAGTCAGCACCTTTACCTGCTCAGCTGTCAAGGAGCTGATGTTTTCTCCATGGCATGAGCTTTTGATGGACAAAAGGTCGATAGAGGAATTAGTATAAAAAATACAACAGTAAACATGTGGCTTGGCAGCTCACAATTAAAGTGGGCAACTATTTCCATTTACTGCAGAGTATTTATGTGTGCAACTTCAGGCAAAATTCCATTTGGTCAAACAAAAATGGATTGAAGTTCACTGATCACAGAGTCAAGACAGGGTTAATTAAATTCTATATTATATTCAATCGAGTCGTTTTACACATCCTGTAACTTCAACGATTTCTTCTTTCAATGTGCCCAAGATAATTCCTTCCATTGAAAACAAATTTCGACGTGTGGGCCAGACATGCTGCTTTGTGTCAGGAACACACACACACACACACACACACACACACACACACACACACACACACACACACACACTTATATGCGAGGCAGCTGCAGTTGGAAAAAAAATTCAGAAGATAGGATTGTAAAAGATGCCTATTATTCAAATACAGCCTTTTCTGCCCATTACCTAATTTGGGAAGAGTGCTGTACAATTTCCAACCATTTAGACATCTATTAAGAAATTAGTACCTCTCTTTTCTGTATATCAGTGGATCAAAGTGCACATTTTGGATAGATAAATAAATGCTGTCGAAGACTGGGCTCACTGATTGTTTTTTTCTTTGATGCGTTGTTTTTTTATATGACATTAAATACATGGTTTGCCAAACCTTATCTTAAAATTCACAGTTTTATGAAAGATTTTGTTTTTTCCATCTGCTGGGAATTAAATATATTTTTGTCAAACGCCGGATAGTACCTGGATCATGTTCATCCGTTGTCAAAGCAAAGGGAGGACATTGAGCTCCAGTGTGACCTATTGAGCGCCACGCTGTCTTTGACAAAGAGCTTCAAAGTGACGTCTTTCAACAGCAAAGGTTCTCTTTGGATTAGTCCAAGTTGTGGCTTTCATGCACAAGGAATCATTTCCAGCTGTCTGCAGGCACCATGTAGCCTTTGAATTCCTTGCTGGTGTCAAAGGTCCGAAATCCCAGTCAGGACAGGATCATTATTTCACCACTGTCAAATCACTGTGTCTACTCTATATGTTGTTTCTCTCGTGACCCACAAACTCGTGAATGAGACACAATGATGAACATTATTTAGCTCAATAAGCATGGAATATAATAATATAGAATGCAATGGAACCGAATCAATCAATCAAACCTATTCATCTAAACAAATAACAGACGTAAGAACATAGAAGCAGCATGTGAATAAGATACCATACAGAATTAAAGAATATAAGTAAAATAGAAGTTAAGATGAATGAAATAGATAAGTACAGTGAATAGGTCTTAGTTAAAAGCCAAATGAAAAAGGTAATGTCTTGCCTGTTCTTAAAAATGTGAACATTCTCTGCAGCCCTGAGGTTCTCCATCAGGCTATTCCACAAACGGTTGGGTTTGGTACCTCTAAAAAGGTTAAGAACCACTGCTCTAAGGCAAAGGCTCCGTCGAACCCCTGAGACCGATTCACCAAACCCCTGGGGTTCGATCGAACCCAGGTTGAGAACCACTGCCCTAGACCATGATGACATTTAAAACCTAGTCATAATACTTTAAAATCAATCCTGAAACAGAAATGTGCAGATTATAAAATTAGTGTAACATGCTTTCCATTCTTAGTCAATGTTCAGTTGTGTTTTGCATTGCGAAGCAGCCTCGATAATGAACTGTGTGGCCAGTCAGCAGAACATGCTTGGGGAAAAAAATGAGGAGATTCTTTCCCTTTCATGGACACGTTAAGATGCAACTTGAGGGGGACATAAAATTGCATTTATTTTTCGTAATTTCAAACTGTTCTTTGGTGCCTTAATGTCATGTCTGTGGCATGCTTTCATAAAAATATCCATACATCAAGAGATATAGCAAACTTTACACACCCTATTTATTGTCTTGCTGAAATCAAGAGAGCATGCCAGCTCTGATTCATTTTTCTGCTGGTTTCATCTGGATTTCATTACCAATCCAACCAGGGTCGACAAATGAGGCATTGCTAAAGTTCTTCTCCTCGTCTCACCGGCGAGTGCATGCGTAACAGATGGCGCATTTTGAAAGAAGAAAGTAACTACCACATGTTCACTTCACAAGAGACCTTAAATGATTACTCGGTAACTGCTGGTGATCGCTTAAAGTTTAATAAATGTGTGAAATGATGCTGAAATGTGTGCAGAAGTGTAATATTAAGTTACTTGTAGTCGTAATTCCCCTTGCCCATTGAACAGAAAAGCGTAAACACACACAGATCTACTTACACCTGAGTGGCAATAACCATGTTTCAATCTATAAAATATTCCCACCAGCCCATTTTTCAAGGTCTTCATCTGACAAAGAAATACACTTGGCTCCCTAATTCACAATGGTACATGCAATTTGCAAGGTAAACACTCTCAATGATGGAACAAATAGGGGGCCTCCAAATTTGTTGGACTCTTTCCGGAGTTTAAGTCATTGACCTCTCGAGAATGAAAAGCAATTGTCCCTGTGAGTTTTGGGCTGGTTGTGCTCTGTCATCAGAAGGGAGGTCACACTGAGCCTATTCTTCTGTGTGTTTATTCTTCTTTGCGTTTATATTTGTCTATTGTTGGAAGGGGCCTAGCTATTTTTCTTTGGTGAGGTCGTCATTGGAAGTAAGGGATGACTTGCGCCTTTTTTGTTGCACTTGCCTGCGATTGTGTTGAAAGCACGTGTCGTTTTTATAATGATGAATTACCGCAGCTTTGTTTTCCGACACGGATGATTGATGATGACATCTGTGTCACTGCAGCCATCAACACATGAATACAGTTTGCTTGTGCTCCATTCATGACATTTACCTTAAATACAGCATCATGCGCTTAAGGTGGATATATGTACTTTTTAGAGCCTGCGGGGTTAAATGAAAAATCAAATGACAACAATAAAAACCGGAATGTCTTTTTTGTGTGTAGCATCAAAGCTCACCAGTGAGAACAAACTTTTGATTCATACAGTTTTGTTACATATTAGAGATTTTATTTTTAAACTTGACTGGCTAAAATAGCCACTGATATTCACTGCTCCTGGATTTTGCACACACACACACACACACACACACACACACACACACACACACACACACACACACCCACACACACACACACACACCCACACACACACACACACACACACACACACACACACACACACACACACACACACACACACACACACACATACACACGCGCGCGCGCACATACACACATTTGTTGTAGAAATAGCAAATGATCACTCATGGTTTTGCATCTTCCCCAGAGCTCAACAGTCATCTATATATCGAAGCCAACCCAAAGACGGAGCAGCAGCGAGCCCGTCTCCTCAGTCCCATTGTGCCAGCCGACACCGGGCCTGTGTGCCTCCTCTTTTCCTACCAAATGTGGGGGGAGGCCCAAGGGCACCTCAGGGTCCTGCTGCGAGACGCCCACAATGAGGAGACCCTCCTGTGGACACTGAAAGACGACCAGGGCCCAATCTGGAAGGAGGGCCGCACTATCCTGCCTCGTTCACCAAAAGACTATCAGGTAGTGATGAATTCCCTGGCTCTGTGGAAGCTTTGCATGCAGACAAGATCAAGAGGCAGCTATATGACCTAAAAGAAGCCACGCTGTCTCTTTTGGTTGCATGATTGTTTAGCGTTGCATTTTTTTTTTTTTTTAGCAGCCATCGCACTGATGTTCTCATAAAATAATAAGTCGCTGGTAAGCGAGGGGGAAGATGATTGCAAGTATGAGTCGTTGCTTTGAAATCACAAGCACCCTATTAAGTTTTTATCCCGTCTCTTCCTCCTTCTTGTCCCTTGTGTTGCCTTCCGCCTTCCTCCGTTCCTTCCATCCTTCCTCTGTTCCTCCCTCTCCTCTTTCTTCTTCCTGCACTTTTGCTGTTGCTTAGGTTGTGATGGAGGGCTTCTTTGCACATGGCACGAGAGGACATGTCTGGATTGACAACATCCGCATGAGCCCCAGCACGCCGCTGGAGGAGTGTACACGTAAGCGGCACAAGCCCACACATATCATGTATCTACACCGATGGGACGAGCTATACTTTTTTGCTCTTTATTTGACCCACCGGTCCTCTGTCACTGTCACCGTCCTCTCCGCTTCCACCTCTTAAAGGCATCAGTAATGCATGCGAAGTGAAAAACACCCCCGACATCCCTCCACATCCAGCTTTAAAGAGACGTTTTATTCCAAAACACCCACCTAGTACATAGATGAAAGAGGCGACGCGAGCGAAGGAGGGGCAGTGTATAAACTCCTCCAGAAAGAAAGAAGAATAGGAAAAGTAGGCCATAAACGCCCTGTGGGCCCCCGCGATGCTAATCTATGTTTCATTAGATTTCTATTCTTCTCTTTCTATCCTCCCTATCTTTTATGCGCACAAGCCGGTTGTATTTGTAAACAGAGCTTTTCCCGAGCTGTCAAAGGGAATTACTCGACAGGCTGTTTCCAAAGTAAATGGCGGAGCGGCTGGCGCGAGCCGAGAGCCAACGCAGCCTCCTTAATCTGGCCTGAGTCGGGGCTTTTGGAGAGGGTCTTAAGCAGATCAGAGACCAAGCTGGAGGTGCGGAGTTAGAAACCTGCCACCGTTTTCTGCCTGACATCCAAGGTGCTTTTGAGCCAGCCCAGCCGGCGTGGAAAAGGCATCTTATGTGTGCTTTGGCCTCTCTGCATTTACATCAGTCATGGTTTGTATATGTTGAGAGTCTAAACTGCTCAGCAGTCAAGAAAGCAAAATATGACAGCCAAGCTTGGCTCCTTTGCCACTCCCACAGTGTGCTGAGATGCTGCTTATCACCCAACACGGTAGAATTTTTCACGGCGTTTCTGCCACAGGCGCCAGTTCCCAAGGCTTCCCCCCCCTCCGCTTCTCAAACGCACGCACAGGCACCACATCTTTGTGTTTGCATTCCCTTCAATCAAAGTGAATGCTCTGCTTTGTGGATTCCCAAACAACCCCCTGCAGTTAAACTGGACTCGGATAAACATCTTGAAATGCATGCTGTTCCCAGCTCACATAAATTGCATTCTCACAATGGAGCCGAGTAAAGGCCATAATTCATGTGAGCTGTCTCAGAAATTAACTTAAATTTCCTCAGGAGTTTGGGAGTCTTGTGACATTCATTTGACATTTGCCTGCCTTTTCCGTCTTATGTAAAGTTATCTAACAGTTCTTGTTCTCTCTATCTCTCTTTGGTGGTCTCTCTCTCTCTCTCTCTCTCTCTCTCTCTCTCTCTCTCTCTCTCTCTCTCTCTCCTCGTCACCCGTGTTTTCGGACTGTCCCCACAGAACCCATCAACGCCTTCTCTCCAGATATGACCGGTGAGTGTATGATGTCATTTACTCTCTGGCCTTGCTGCTTCTGCTTGTTGGTATGCACCAGGCTGTGGGTTTTCGCTTGGCAGCACCAATATGTCTCAGTAACTACATGAGCTGCACAAACTATTCCGTGGCCGACTACACTGCAAGTGTTTCAGAATGAATACAAGTGCACATCGGAAGCGGCATGTAGAAATCACAAAGCACATACTAAAGACCCAACTAATGAATGCCAGATTTAGTGGGATCGTTGAAAATCTGATTATTTTGGTAATTCATTGTGTCTCGGTGGAAAAGTGCAAATGTTGCATGGAAGTACACCTCAAGCAGTCAGATGTGAGAAACTATCTTTTTCATGTCTCTTGGTTTCTGGCTCAGAGACCCAGCCGGGTGGGTTTTAAATAACTGTCTGCCTCATGAAAAATATTCAGAGCATCCTGCGGGACGCTACGGGATTGATGTTTGTGCTCTGGCATCTCATAATGTCCTCCAATAAGATAAGAGCTCGGTGGTTGCTGTCACTGCAAATATCACAACTGCCCACCCGATCTTTCCTGCGCCTTTCTTTCACAGCATCTCCTGCATCCCACACAATAATATGGCCATGTATATACACAGAGCAAGCCTGAGCGTCCCTCCGCTCCACAACTCACCTAATGAATGGACACATTCTGAAGCTGCAGCAGTGACGGCATGCAGCAACTCCCTCTGTTGTTAAAAAAGAGAGCTCTGCTTCTCTCCTCCAAGTTCGCTGTTGCTCCACAGGCCTTTTAAGTTCTCAGAGTCACATTTGGATTGTATTTAATTAAATTCCTTAGTCCCTGGATTGTAGATGTCTGTGGAATTTTGGAGTAGAGACTTCTTGGAAAGCGCTTAGGTTAGTTCTTCCCAATAAATAGAGGAGTTCAATCCAGGGGCAACATTGCGAAAAACCTCTGGCTCTTGGAGGACAGGGCTGGCCTGGAGGCTGATGCATGAGAAGAAAGGCAAAGTAAGAACGCTGAACAACGTGAGCTATGCTTGAAACCTATCGGCCAAATCAAGGCGGTTAAATAACAAATCCAGTCTCAGCCCAAAGCGAACTCTGGCAGCACTCGATAGCCATGAGGTGTGTCGATGCGAGTCTTGCATGGTGATGTACTTGAAGGGCCTAACAAGAAGAAAAAGCTCCTTAATTCAGTGTGTGCGGTTGCTTTTCAACTAATTATTTCAACTTGCTTTCACACCAAGTCATGTCCTTGTGAGTTGTCCAGAAGTGCAACAGCATTTCCATTGATTAGTTTAACAATTGGTCTGATTTAAAATTGATGTTCTTGGTGTGAAAATGTGTCCTCCAAACCAAAGATGCATTTATGCACATGGATGCATTTGAAATTTTCTTTGGCCATTGGGTATTGGTTCTTTTTTTTTTTTCCACTCAGCATGCTTGTGCATGCTCAGGTGCACGTCTCCTCTTTGAGATCGACAATTGATCATTTCAGTAAATGTAGCGCCATTCCACTCTTTTCCTGTCGGCCAATTATTCTGTATCTCTCCACCAGGGGGAGGTATTCCCGTGCCTCCCTTCCCCATCCACTGGTATTACATAATGGCTGTTGGGGCCACCCTCCTCGTCCTGGCCGTGGCCATCTTGGTCAGAGCTCTTTGTTGCTGCAGACGACACCTGGCCACCCAGAAGAGCCAACAGTCGGTGGCCTATCACAGCTCTTCGCAGTGCTTCCAGTACTCAAATTGGTCCACAAGTATGGCCACCCCAGGGGTGGAGCCAGTGCTGACAGTGAGGTTGGACAGCCGGGACCGACACCGCACTCTCTGCTGAAATGAGCCGATTGGCTAGAGTGTCCGTGCAGGATGTCTACACGTGACGTTGGTGTCACAAAGCCAATCAACTAAATCATCACTTTACAGCTGCGCGGGTGATGATGGAAGTCTACAAAAGTCTACAAAAACAAATGGGTGCACTCCCTATTGGATGTCACTTGGTTGCTTGCTTTCCTCGTCATTTCATTGAGGAGTTTGGTATTGACATATGTCACACTATGACCCGCTGATCCTGATGGCAGGGCTGGAGTGGAGGACTGGAGTAACTTATTTATCTGAACAGCTTGGTAGGGCCCATTATGTGCTGTCTGGCCCCTCAGGCACCGATCATCCTTTTGGAATCCCCCCAGCATGGACTTGCACACAGACGTGTGGGCTCGGTTTAACCAGTCAGAGCTGCCAATCCACCAGCTAACACAAGATGCCCGAAACACGAGGATGACACTGGCTGTAGAGATGAACTCTGCTCTTGCTTCGACTTCGGCCTGTTGAAGTGGAGGGACGGAGGGGGAGCTCTATTATCATTTTCAAACAAGCATGTGCACATTTAAGAAACAACGAAACACTGCCAGTAAGCCGTCTGACAGTGATAGATGCAGTCATCGTCAGTGCTCAGTTTGTCTGCTCGCATTGTCTATCATAAGAAAGCACGTCTTTCCTCTCCCGTTTTACGCAATGTACCACCCAATTGCGCCGTTCTGTCCACGGATGAAAGCCGCATGGAGCCAAGTTAATTTGTGGGCATTTTCAGCGGGAGTTTCTGCTGGCTTGTAAATAGAAACAGATGTCTGCGATCATCTCTTCTTTGATGTTTGCAGCGACTAATCCAAGAGTGCCATCAAATTGTTTGCTGTATATTGGCACCATGAAAACCAAGAGCAATAGGAAGCATTGCCCATATATTCTTCTTTTTACAGGCGGCGCTTCACAGGAACGTGGACATCATGATTCCCAGAGAAATTGTACATGAATGCTGAGATATGGTGTCTCCCAACACCCAGTATTACATTACAGCATATTCAAATTTTGTTGCATGAAAATATGCCCTACGCTGGCTATCTGTGAGCACCACAAGAATGACATCACATCATTCTGAGTGATGTTTTAGAATAAGTTTCTGTCATGGCTTTATCTTTGCCAAGCCGTTGCTTTTTTTTTTTTTTTTTTTTTTTTAATCCACAATCTCATCTTTGATTCTACTTACATAACCAATGTTCTTTTTTCCCCTAAACCACTTTTTGCTCTTATTGAGTTTGAACGGTTAACACAAGCAAAAGAATGACAAGAATATTTTTATGTATGAGTGTGCAGGCTTGTCTCTTAGTATTTTCATCTAATCACTTGGAACTGAGACTACAAAATGATGCAAAGTTTGTTTTTGTCTTTTAAAACCGAACGGCACCTCACATGCCACTCGGCAGGATGCACATTGCCACTTTTAGTCGCTGCACTTTTGTCTCCGGAGTGGTTTTGGCTGATGCTGTGCTTTTAAATCAGCAGGAGGAGGGACGGGACAGCGGGCTTGACACTGTTCCGCTTCAAGCCTCCAATACTTGTAATTAGTTAATGGACAGATAACATTTATTAAGGCTGCGCAATGCACTTTTCCCTCCTTTTACTGCACTTCCACCATGCCGTAGCCTGCCAAGTTCAGTTACCCTGGAAACATTGTAATAACGCAATTGGCCATCGCAGCCATTCAGATCAAGACGTGTGCCTTGCCAAGCAGTTACTCCCATTCCTGTATGCCTGCCAACCGCAGAGAGTGCACAACATACACACACACACACACACACACACACACACACACACACACGCACACCCACACACACACATGCACACACTTTCACAAAAGTCTTGACTCACTTGAAACACAGCTCTTAAGGGTGATCGTTTTGATTGTTTTTAAAGGAGGCTTTGTTAACTAATGACAATTTTGCATCTTGATTCACACAGAATGAACAGTCTTAGAACATCACTATGCTACATATTGACTGTGTTTTTGACAGCAATGTATCATAATGACCTTTCCCTAATTAATAAAGTCATATTTTTCTACAATTTCAAGGACTGCCCAGCATTGCATTTCTGTAAAAATTGTATGAATGCAGCAGTTTGTTGGTGAACGTTTCTGTGCTGGACAATATTTACTCAATGTTCATGGGATCCCTATGGCATTACACGTGCAAAAAGTGAAAATGAAAGAAAATTATATGGAGTTTGTCCTCCCTCACCGGTACAACCGCTTCCACTCTGCTGAGAAAACCTTCGCCATTATGTTTTTTTTACTTATCTACAAAGTAGATTTGTGAGGCCAGAGGTCATTGATGTTGGCCCAATATCTCAGTCCTAAACTGAAAAAAAAAACGGTTTGTTGAATTTATCCATCCATCCATTTTCCGATCCGCTTTATCCTCACAAGGGTCACAGGGCGTGCTGGAGCCTATCCCAGCTGTCTTCAGGGAGTAGTTGAACTGGTCGACCAGCCAATCACAGGGCACACATAGACAAAGAACCATTCGTGCTCACAATAACACCGAGGGACAATTTGGAGTGGCTCCATTAACCTGCCACACATGTTTTTTGGAATGTGGGAGGAAACCAGAGTATTTGGAGAACACCCATGCAGACATGTGGAGAACATGCAACTCCATACAGGAAGGCCGCAGCCGGAATCAAACCCATGACCTCTGCACTGTGAGGTCGACACGCTAACCAGTCGACCACCGAGCCAGTTTAATTTACTCAATTTTATTTTGTCAAGCGGTGGCACGCAATAGAATCATCAATGTATCTAAATCTTTTTAAGTAGAAAAATTAATCTGGCTGCAGGTGATTTTATTCAGTGCCACCACTTGACGAAATAAAATTGAGCAAATTGAACACATCCTTTTTTTTCAGTGTATTTCATTCAATTCCCAAAGGTGTTACATTAGGTTCAGGTCGGGCTCTCACTAGTGTGCGTGCATGCATGCATGTGTGCAAAAACCTGTCCGGATCAGCGTAAAGGCAACAAATGTTGTGTGCTTCTCTCTAGCAGTCAAGACGCCTAATCAGTTTGGAGATGTGCGGCTCGACACAGGCAGGGAACCGCTTGGGGGAGGTAAGCAAATAAGTCTCTTCGTTTCAAATTTAGAAAATTCCCAGTTGACATACTCTGGTCCTGTCCTAGGTCTCCAGTTTCCAGAATGGAACACAGCATCGCCGTCGTTGGACCCTCCAGTGACTCCGGCCTCAGAGAAGGACAACTCGTGGCTGTACACGTTGGACCCCATTCTGGTCACGATCATTGTGATGAGTTCCCTGGGTGTCCTACTCGGGGCAGTGTGCGCGGGCCTCCTCCTCTATTGCACCTGCTCCTACAGTGGCTTGTCCTCACGTTCCTCCACCACACTGGAGAACTACAACTTTGAACTGTATGACGGCCTCAAGCATAAGGTTAAATTGAACCAGCAGCGCTGCTGCACTGAAGCGTGAGGAGAAAGAGAGAGGAAACCAAAACATATGTGAATACCTCTCGCAATCTTCATTTGCTTCTAGCTTCACCTTAGTGTCAGCTGACTTCCTCAAGGAGACAGACCCCTGGACACATGGACAAGTTGGCCACTTTTTATCTGAAGTGAGCTCTCCTTTTCCTGTTTGGAAAAATGGCACAGTCATTTATTTTGTGGTAAAAGCAACAATGTGAAAAACATTGAGGTCAGCACGATGAATTGCTCCATTTCAAGGCCTCGGACATCTAAATATCGACACATATCAACTTTAGATTCCTGCTCCACCAAAAGAGAACTGTTTCTAAATGCGCGTCATAGATTTGTAAGAGTTCTAGTTTTGAAAGTGCACATACTGAGTCAAAATATTGTCCTGGAAAGGTGGTAGGTTAGGAACGTGCTTAGCAAGCATCTTTTTTGGCTCAAACATGTGAACATGTTGATGTAGAGCTTAGCTCCTGTGTCTGGCCCATTGACATTTTGTTCCATTGTGGACTCTTCTCCTTGTTGGGCACGCCTCCGCTGTGGTATTTTTAGTCATTGACGTCTGTCAGCTTAGTAGTTCTGCACTCACTCTCTTTGTGTTTAATGTTTCTGTTCTGGCTCGTGGCCAATTAGTGATGGCTGATAAATAGGGGACACAGCACCTAAAGTGGGGGCGTGAAGGTTAGTGTAGTCGTAGTGGGATTTTTTTTTTTTTTTTTAATGGCAGGGAGAATTATAGTCGTCGCAGACCGTTCTCTGGAGACAAAGTCATGTTTTCTTTGTACTTAATGGAGAAGGGTCAATGAGTTTTAGTGAGTGCAACCTATGGATTGCTGCTGAGAGCAGGAACTGACAACTGTGGAGGAAAAAGAAACAAGGAGAGGCAGGGGGCACCCGGGCTCACCGATATGTTCTCGCTCTGTGCCAAAGACGAGAACTGAACATGCAACCAGAAATTTCTCGTCTCAATGGTATGACCACATGCCAATGGACACACATCAAGCCTTAAACTGGAATTGTTGAGCAGACATACCGAGGAGAAACCAAGGTGAGAACACATCCCACTTTGGACCAGAGAAGCCATGATTTGAAGGACCTATCCCACCGCCATCAGAAACATTCATTGCACAAAGCTCATTCAACCGCATGGCCTACGATGGCTTACTTCATGTTTTGTTTTGGTTTTTTTCTCAGCTATTTTCAGCTTTCATAAAGCAGGGTGGGCATTTCTTTGTAAAAACTCCTTTGCATGAATAGACTGAATCTCAAGGTGGAAAATGGGAGAGAAAATATTGATTTTGCTGTGATGCTTCATAAATCTCATGACACACTGACATGATTGGCTTGTACATATACATGTGCAAAGAATGGTTACTGACACACACACATGCGCATACACACACACACACACACACACACACACACACACACACGCACACGCA